TGATGTTAGACCCAGAGCTATGATATTAGACCCAGAGCTATGATATTAGACCCAGAGCTGTGATATTAGACCTAGAGTTGTGATATCAGACCCAGAGCTGTGATATTGGACCCAGAGCTGTGATATTAGACCCAGAGCTGTGATATTAGACCCAGAGCTGTGATATCAGAGACCCAGAGCTGTGATATTAGACTCAGAGCTATGATATTAGACCCAGAGCTGTGACATTAAACCCAGAGCTGTGATATTAGACCCAGAGCTATGATATTAGACTCTGAGCTGTGATATTAGACCCAGAGCTGTGATATTAGACCTAGACCTGTGATATTAGACCCAGAGCTATGATGTTAGTCCCAGAGCTATGATATTAGACCCAGAGCTATGATCCAGAGCTGTGATATTAGACCCAGAGCTATGATATTAGACCCAGAGCTGTGATATTAGACCCAGAGATGTGATATTAGACCCAGAGCTGTGATATTAGACCAAGAGCTGTGATATTAGACCCAGAGCTGTGATATTAGACCTAGAGCTGTGATATTAGACCCAGAGCTGTGATATTAGACCCAGAGATATGATATTAGACCCAGAGCTGTGATATTAGACTCAGAGCTGTGATATTAGATCCAGAGCTGTGATATTAGACCCAGAGCTATGATATTAGACCCTGAGCTGTGATATTAGTCCCAGAGCTGTGATATTCGACCCAGAGATATGATAGTAGACCCAGAGCTGTGCAATTAGACCCAGAGCTCTGAATCACAGCTCTGGATCGCAGCTCTGGGTCTAATGTCACAGCTCTGGATCATAGCTCTGGTTCTAATATCACAGCTCAGAGTCTAATATCACAGATCTGGGTCTAATATCACACCTCTGGGTCTAATATCAGAGCTCTATATCACAGCTCTGGTTCTAATATCACAGCTCTCGATCTAATATCACAGCCCTGGATCTAATATCAAATCTCTGGATCACAGCTCTGGGGGGGATCTCTGTGTCTAATATCACAGCCCTAGATCACAGCTCTGGGACTAATATCACAGCTCTGGGTCTAGAGCTGTGATATTAGATCCAGAGCTGTGATTCAGAGCTATGATTTCAGACCCAGAGCTGTGATATTAGACCCAGAGCTATGATAATAGACCCAGAGCTATGATTTCAGACCCTGAGCTATGATTTCAGACCCAGAGCTGTGATATTAGACCCAGAGCTGTGATATTAGACCCAGAGCAGTGAAATTAGACCCAGAGCTGTGATATTAGACCCAGAGCTGTGATATTAGATCCAGAGTCTACTTACCAGTCAATAGATGTCTGAGCTGAAACAGAATGAGATAAAAAAAAATGTAATTATAATAATAATTATGAAATATAAATAGTTTTCACATATATCACATTAACACACATCCACACATATCAACTATTGAGAGAAAGAAATTTGCCCCTTTTTGGCCCCGCCCCTCAGCCCCCTAGGGGGTCAGCCCAACCATTTGTACAATTTTGAATCCCCACCACCTAGGGATGCTTCCAGTCAAATTCCAATCAGTGGTAAAGAAGAGGAAGTCGTTCAAAAAAATTGTTGACTTACATGCGACGGACGGACGACGGACGCCACGGTATCATATAAGCTCACCTTGGTCCTTCGGACCAGGTGAGTTAATAAAATATATAACTGTTGCGATAATTTGTCAATATTTTGTTTCATAAAGTACATTTGTTCCTGTATGTAACCATCAAAGAAAGATAGTAATAAGTTGGCTCAGCCTGCATCGTTCAAAAAACACAAATCTGACTTACACTGTATATGTATACCTGCACCAGCAGTCATTGCTACTTATTCTAATTGAATAGAGACCTGCTTGTCAACATGAATAGGAGGGGTTGGAGTAAGCAAGAGAATAACACCTACTAACTTAATATAAATAGTCATAAGACTCAGGGTTAGGTCAGGTCAAGCTCTACCAATTTTAACCATTTTTCCCATTCGGAAGTAAATCTTCTAAAACATTGTTCCCCTTTACCATGAGCAATATAAAATATGAAATATATTGATGATTAAACTGTGAAATCATACTGAAATAAATTCCTGAGAGTGGGTTGTGATTTCAAAAATAGCAAAATGTTTTTTTAACAGTTGTGACTTTCCAAATGAGGGTATCCTATGTTTGTTACTAAATTATAAAGGGCATTATAGGTAAACATGTTACCCATCCCTGTGACTGTCGGCAGTATTAGAGTGCAACTGGGCGAAATGTCTCTGTGATTTTTTTACAGCTGACTTTACAGATTCGGCACACTGTGTACTTACGATATCTGGCCGTCCTGCAACAAAAAGAAACAATGAACCATTAATTAAGAAACAATTTTTTACACAACACTGTCTGAACTTAGCCTCAGCCTTTGTATAATCTATATGCATACCGGGCTTTATTAAAATCAAACAATATTTAAGCAAGTCATCCTGCATAAACTAAAGTTTGGAAATTGACCAAATGGCACAGTATGCTAATTAACGATGCCAAGATTTTGCTTAATTTCAAACATAGCCTTAGTCATAATGTACATGCATACCAAGTTTCATCAAAATCCAATGATATTTAGCAAGTTATCTTGTAGAAACTAAGATCAAACTGATAGCAATCCTTTTGTTTACCAGAGAACACCTATAAATTGTAAGGATCAAGTGTGTTTTTGATGAAGGGAGGTAAGCCATTCATGCAAATTGAAGCCAAACAAAAATACTGTTATTTTCAATATAAAAAAATCTGTTGTACAATAAAGTTGATGAATTAATTCAAATATAAGGTTTACTTAAATTCCCATATTTTCCTCATTCTGCGGAATGTTCCATTTTTTTCTAAGGGAGACAACTCTATCCAGATAAAAAAAGTTGTGCTATTGCTTTTAGATAGTCACATTTATCCATGAAATTTCAATTTAAAAATCTTCCCTTTTTATTTTTAAATAGTTTCAAACAATGCCACAAAGTTTTAACAATGAAAGTTTCCATTTTAATGGAATGCTTAGATTTTCATAAAATCACCTAATAGATATACTCTTGCATTAATTGTCATTAAGGGGAACATTCAAAGTAGTCTCATTTAATGCAGGTGGTCTTTTAACAGAAGTTCATTTCACACTATCACTATAATGGTGAACATTCAAACTTATCTCTTCACAAATGTGCTTATTAATGGAGGTGCTCACATGAGCAGGTTTGGCAGTATCTGACATTACTGCACAAACAGAATTTTTGAGGAAACTTCAATACTTACCCTAATCTTGTTTGCTTAATGGCTTCTATATCTCTTTTGACCTACAGATAAAAGAAGGATTAAGCTAGAAATGTATGTTGACTAATAGCAATATTTGGCAAAAATTCATTTTTCAGATATCAAACATAAAACCTAAATATGACATAATCTTATAATCACATACCCTAGCACTCGCACACATACGCAGGCCAGTTTTGCTGTGTTTGAGAAACTCTGGTAGATTGTTGAGGTAGCTGAAGAAAAGACTATGGCCCAGGACTGTTGCCTTGGTGCCCCTATATCGGATACAGTTTTCTCGCACCTCTGACGGAGATATCCCACGTTATACCCCATGCTAGATTTTTCTATCTCGTCCGATCTGTCTTGTACCTTTACGTGACATTTCGCGATTTTTCCATTGTGATGTATTCGTGGATACACTTGTCCAGGGTAAGAGAATAGTAAGAGAATTGTGTATTTCCCATTACACAGAGATGGGAGGGTAATAGAATCAGTGGAGTGAAATAGGGGAATCTCAATTTGAGGGGAAAGATTCTTAAGGTGCAAAACACTAGGATTTGCTGATTGTTTGGCAACTTAAGAATCTTGCCCCCCCCCTCTCCCCCAGAGGGTTGAGATTCCCAATCTCACCTACCTTGTTCAACCATTGTGTATCATGTATGTAATGTTTTTTTTTAATGTTGACGAGACGTCATTGTATTGTTGACGCGACATCATTGTATTGCTGACGAGATGTCATACAACTATTATGAATTGTGGAATCCCCCTGTCTTAAAACTAGGTTTAGACTTATATATTATCACACTGGAAATACTGTCGGATAAACTGCTTATTATTCATATACTACTACCTGATATATTTCTCCATTTAAAAAAGTCAACTAAACACCATGTTTTCCCAATGAACTATAGGCTCAATGTTCATCGAACACAGATCCTCGGTCTGCGACAAATGTAAACAAATAGAAAATATGCAAGGAGGAATACCACGAACCTTAAACCGATGTAGGAAATAACATTTTTAGAACAATCTTTTTGTCATTTACTTTTCCATATGCACATTTACGCTTTAAATGGTGTTGTTATCCTCACAAAATTGTTCCCGTCTTTATAGTGATTAATCTATAAAAAACATTTTTATATCTGGTTAAGGACGTCACCTGGTGTGAGCAGACGTTCTTTCTTTGAGAAAATTTGTTCCTTAATACTGGGAAATGGGTAATCCTGTTCTCAAGTCATTCTCAACTTCTTCCTGAGTATTCTCATACTGACAACTCATGATAAGGAATTGATCATGCTACTGGTAGGTGGTATAAAGCAGTTTATAGATGATAAAAAGAATTTCTCTCATTTCTGTGTGTGTTAAGTTAGAGCTTTCCAGGGTAAGAAAGGGGTACGTGTAGGAAATTTCTATTTTACACCCCATTTTATGTGACGTCACAATCGTTTAACAATGATGTGATGTCACGAATTCGTAAAACTCTGGTGCCGCAATGCGCAAAAGGCGACTTGAAGAAATTAAAACCTTTTACGATGCATTGACCATACAAACTAGAAAGATGTGATTATTTTTTCTGCGTAAACTTTGTTTGCAAATATGGGGTTTGCAAAATCTCGCCAACGGATTCGTTTTCGTCAAGAAAGCTCAGGAGGAAAATTGATATTTTCAGAATGGTAGCTAGTACAATTGCATTTTCATGGTTTCTGAGCTTATTCTGGTGGTTGTAATGAGAGAAAAATACTCTTTCATGCCCAAGTGGAAATTCCACCCTCAGGATTTTCAAACCCCCAGGAAAGCCTTGGATTTTACCGAATTTGAAAACCCCTCGGGTGGAATTTCCCTATCCTACACCCCTGCACATGAAATAGTCTTCTAATCTCATCCTGGGACAGGGAATGGGTGAAATAGTCTTCTAATCTCATCCTGGGACAGGGAATGGGTGAAATAGTCTTATAATCTCATCCTGGGACACGGATTGGGTTATAGTTGGTGGGGTTATGTTTGTCACCTTTGTTTTTTAAAAACATGGACAGAGTTGAGAGAGATTCCAGTCAAGGGGAACAATTCCTGAAATCAACATGTATGTTATCAGACAATTCATACAGAAACCAAGTAATGCCTTTATATGTCATTAAGTATGGTCCAATACCAACCCCTTCCACAGCTAAGTCTAAATCTGCTGGATTATTCACACCAACGACTATAGTAGACGTGTCCATTTTGTTGATGTTGAAGTTAACTCCAATCTGAAACAACAAGTTTTAGGTACAGCAGTCTTTCATTCAACTTATGATATTTCAAAGCCCTGTAACTCTGCCACCAGGGGAAGTCATACCCTTCATTTATATCATATTTCAGCCCTTTGTACCGGGACGCTCCATCGTAAGTTCAGTAGAAATCCCTTCACTGATATTTGATTTAAGGATTTCTCACTCGTGAAAATTTCTTACTTATATTTTCTTATTGTTAAATTTCACATTACAAATTTAGAATGCTGGATTCACAATGCCAGTATCGATTTTTACAACAAGAGGCCCAGACGGCCTGTATCACTCACCTGGATAATAAAGCAACCATAGGAAATAATTATCACTGCATAAAATCCCTCCAAAAGTACAGAAGAAGAAAGATTTTTCAGATTTAAAACTTGAACTTCAATATTGGGCCTCACAACTCTCAGCACCCAGAAGGGCCTCACCCTTCTTTTATACAAAATTTAGTTCCCTTTGCGCAAGGATGCTCCAGACTAAATTTGTATAAAGTCCCCTAATCCCTATGGAAAAAAGGAGGATTTCAATGGTGTTAACCTCTATTTCCCCTATTGGAACCTGTAACTCTGACCCCAGGGAGTCCAAACCCACCGTTGTTTATACTATACTAATTCCCCTTGGCTCCAGGATGCTTCAGTCCAAATAAGGATGACATCCCTTAATCCTTATGGTGGAAGAATGATTTTTATGGTTTGACTCTATTTCCCCTATTCAGCCCCACCCCTCGGCCCCCCAGGGCGGCCATACCCACCGTTAATACAAAATTGAGTCCCTTTGGCCTAAAAATGCTCCAGACCAAATTTGGGTAAAATTCCTTAATCTCTACGATAGAAGAAGGATTTTAAAGGTTTACCACTATTTCCCCTATTTGACCCTGCTCCTCTGCCCGCAAGGGGGCCAATCTTACCATTTATACAAAAGTGAGTCTTTTTGGCCCAATGATGCTCCAGACCAAATTAAATTAGGATGAAATCCCTTAATCTCTATGGTAGAAGAAGGATTTTAAAGGTTTACCTCTATTTCCCCTATTTGGGCCCACCCCTCTGCCCCCATGGGGCCGCACCCACCTTTTATACAAAATTGAATCCCCTTGGCCAAAGAATGCTCCCAACCAAATTTAGTCCCTATCCACTGGGCTGTTCAGTACAAGTAGCATTGTAAAGGAAAAGTTGACGCATGGACGACGGATGCTGCGCTATGGCATGAGCTCACTTAACCTTCGGGCAGGTGAGCTAAAAATTCATGGTAAGGGAGGAAATCAGTCCATTATTATTTTTATATCAAAACTTCAACTTCCCTTTTTTCCATACTGACTTAATTCTGACTCATCACTTATCTGATTTGAACTTATTAAGTAAATATTACCTGCTCTCTGAGACGCTTCACATTGTCTCCCTTTTTACCGATCAAACGGCTGAAAATACTGTCCATACTGCCATCAATTGGAATAACTCTTGATAGGCTTGGATCACCAGCTATATCCTGATTATCTCTGAATTAAACAATTCTCTCATAACATATCAATACCAGTCCAAGTGACATTTTCTCCAAATTGATTTTTATAATTTCACTAAGATTCATCAGTTTTGAAATTTGTAATAAAGATTTTTACTTTATTCACAAACGATGTACGTATTAAACACGTCACAACGTTTCAAGTCTGACTGGTCCCTTCAAGCTATCAAGAAAATTTGACAAAGGGACCAGTCGGTCTTGAAACATTGCAACGCATTTAATACATACATTGTTTATGTATAAAGTAAAACTTTGATATTGATTTTTATACCAAGTTTATTTCATTGAAATGATCAGATTTTCATAACATCACCTTCATATTGTTTCATTGCTATTATGTGAAAGTTTTTTTATAATTCTGCTGATAAATTGCAAAATTACCAAAGGGCAGAGCCCCACTAAATGTAGTTCAGCTCATAAATAGAATCATTCCCTACCTTGAGGGTGTCACAGAGAAATCTCCTACCCAAGGGATGATATTCTCGATTGTCTAAGCCTTTGGCGTTTTCTGACATTACTGAACAAACCCAGTACTTACGCAGAAAGGTTTTGCTTCAAGGCTTCTATTTCCTTTGTGACCTGCAGATAAGAGAAGGATTAAACTAGAAATGTATGTTGANTAGGATTTAGGGGAATCTACCATTTTTCAGATTTTGGGGTAATTGAAACTTTGATACAAGGCTCTAGCATCATCAAGATTAAAGATAAATGTTTTTTCTAACATATATGTGTGCAGCATATTTCAATTTAAAAACAATTTAAGCCTAAATTGTAGATTTTTTTATTAAATTTAAATTTTAGAGTACATGTGGGAATTTCAAAGAGCAGGGAGATATTCTTCTGTAGGGGAAACTATCCATAAATGGAACTGAATCAAGTCTAGACTGACACATACAGAGGTGGGAGAATCAGTGTCTTTACTTTGGTTGGTGACCAGATCTTGAATGGCAGAAATTATTTGTGTTTCACAAGAGCAAGAAGGATGGAATCCCTGTTGAAGGACATACAGTAAGTCGTCTGAATCAAGATGCTGCGTGATGTTACTACTTATTACGTGATCAAGGAAATTGTAGCATATCATTGTAACAGAGATTGGATTATAGTTGACAGGGTTATGTTTGTCACCTTTGTTTTTTAACAAGAGATCCCAGAGGGATCTTGGCCCCCACCTTTGTACCATCCTCATTAGTTCTTCGTCAGTTCAATCTTTTCTCTTCTTTCCTCTAATATGTTTGATCGAGTCATGTTAGCAGTAAATGCACCTTGAGGTAACTTTTGGTCTAAACTTAATACTGATGTGTATGAAAGACAACCTTCAAAGTGAGTTTGTCATTTCACATATTTACTAGTACAGTACTTAAATTAAGTGAAAGGAATAGAATCGATCATTGCAATATGAGAAAGATCTGTTAAGTTGTTCTTTATTCCATTTTGTTTTTATCATCAGTCTCAAAATATCACATGCACAACGAGGGATCAAGGGGAACCTACATTTCAAATTTGAGAAAGATCCCTCTAATACTTCCAGAGAAATAGCAATAACAAAATTTCAATATCAACATCGAAGATGGCTGCCTGTCGGCCATGTTGTTTATCCGATCAGTCTCAAAAATTGCCCTGCACAGCTAAGGACCAAGGGGAACAGACATATTACATTTGAGAAAGATCCCTCTGGTACTTCTTGGGAAATAGCGATAACAAACTTTCTATATCAAAATCAAAGATGGCTGCCTTTTGGTCATGTTGTTTATACGATCAGTCACAAAAGTTGCCCTGCACAGCTAGGAACCAAGGGAAACCTACATATAAAATTTGAGAAAGATCCCTCTGGTACTTCTTGGGAAATAGCGATAACAAACTTTCAATATCAACATCGAAGATGGCTGCCTGTCGGCCATGTTGTTTATCCAATCAGTCTCACAAGTTGCCCTGCACAACTATGGACTAAGGGGAACTTACATATAAAATTTGAGAAAGATCCCTCAGGTACTTCTTGAGAAATACCGATAACAAGAATTGTTTAAGGTTGGACGATGGACGATGGACGACGGACGGACCACGGACCACTGACGCAGGGTGATTTGAATAGCCCACCATCAGATGATGGTGGGCTAAAAACATGGACAGAGTTGAGCGAGATTCCAGTCAAGGGGAACAATTCCTGAAATCATCATGTATGTAATCAGACAAGTCATACAGAAACCAAGTAATGCCTTTATATGTCATTAAGTATGGTCCAATACCAACCCCCTCCACAGCTACGTCCAAATCTCCTGGATTATTCGCAACAATGACTATATCAGAACTGTCCGTTTTGTTGATGCCGAAGTTAACTCCAATCTGAAACAACAAGTTTTAGGTACGGCAGTCTTTCAATCAACATATGATATTTCAAAGCCCTGTAACTCTGCCACCAGGGGAAGTCATACCCTTCATTTATATCATATTTCAGCCCTTTGTACCGGGACAATCCATCGTAAGTTCAGTAGAAATCCCTTCACTGATATTTGATTTAAGGATCTCACTCGTGAAGACTTCTTACTTATATTTTCTTATTGTTAAATTTCACATTACAAATTTAGAATGCTGGATTCACAATGCCAGTATCGATTTTTACAACAGGAGGCCCAGACGGCCTGTATCGCTCACCTGGATAATAAAGCAACCATAGGAAATAATGAGTATTGCATAAAATCCCTCCAATAGTACAGAAGAAGAAAGATTTTTCAGATTTAAAACTTGAATTTCAATATTGGGCCTCACAACTCTCAGCACCCAGAAGGGCCTCACCCTTCTTTTATACAAAATTTAGTTCCCTTTGCCCAAGGATGCTCCAGACTAAATTTGTATAAAGTTCCCTAATCCCTATGGAAAAAAGGAGGATTTCAATGGTGTTAACCTCTGTTTCCCCTATAGGAACCTGTAACTCTGACCCCAGGGAGTCCAAACCCACCGTTGTTTATACTATACTAATTCCCCTTGGCCTCAGGATGCTTCAGTCCAAATAAGGATGAAATCCCTTAATCCCAATGGTAGTAGACTAGGGTATAATGGTTTTACTAAATTTCCCCTATTCGGCCCCACCACTCTGCCCCCAGGGGGGGCATACCCACCGTTAATACAAATTGAGTCTCCTCGGCCTAAAAATGATCCAGACCAAATTTGGATAAAATTCCTTAATCTCTACGATAGAAGTCCTTAATCTCTACAATAGAAGTCCTTAATCTCTACGATAGAAGAAGGATTTAAAGGTTTTCCTCCATTTCCCCTATTCGGCCCCACCCCTCTGCCCCCATGGGGCCACACCCACCTTTTATACAAAATTGAGTCCCCTTGGCCAAAGAATGCTCCCAACCAAATTTAGTCCCATCCACTGGGCTGTTCAGTACAAGTAGCATTGTAAAGGAAAAGTTGACTCACGGACGACGGACGCTGCGCTATGGCATAAGCTCACTTAACCTTCGGGCAGGTGAGCTAAAAATTCATGGTAAGGGAGGAAATCAGTCCATTATTATTTTTATATCAAAACTTCAACTTCCCTTTTTTCCTTACTGACTTAATTCTGACTCATCACTTATCTGATTTGAACTTATTAAGTAAATATTACCTGCTCTCTGAGACGCTTCACATTGTCTCCCTTTTTACCGATCAAACGGCCAAAAAGGGTGTCCAAACTGCCATCAATTGGAATAACTCTTGATAGGCTTGGATCACCAGCTGTATCCTTATTATCCCTGAATAAAACAATTCTCTCATAACATATCAATACCAGTCCAAGTGAAATTTTCTCCAAATTGATTTTTATAATTTCACTAAGATTCATCAGTTTTGAAATTTGTGATAACGATTTTTACTTTATACACAAATGATGTACGTATTAAACACGTCACAGTGTTTCAAGTCTGACTGGTCCCTTCAAGCTATCAAGAAAATTTGACAAAGGGACCAGTCGGTCTTGAAACGTTGCAACGCATTTAATACATACATTGCTATGTATAAAGTAAAACTTTGATATTGAATTTTATGCAAGTTTATTTCATTGAAATGATCAGATTTTCATAACATCACCTTCATATTGTTGCACTGCCATTATTTGAAAGTTTTTTTTATAATTCTGCTGATAAATTGCAAAATTACCAAAGGGCTGAGCCTCACTAATATAGTTCAGCTCATAAATAGAATCATTCCCTACCTTGAGGGTGTGACAGAGAAATCTCCTACCCGAGGGATGATTTTCTCGATTGTCTTACCCGAGGCTTTGCCGTGGGTAAAACATTTGAGAATATCATCCCGAGCAACCAAGAGCAGCTGGTTTGGCGGTTTCTGACATTACTGAACAAACCCAGTACTTACGCAGAAAGGTTTTGCTTCAAGGCTTCTATTTCCTTTGTGACCTGCAGATAAGAGAAGGATTAAACTAGAAATGTATGTTGACTAATAGCAATTTTTGGCAATTATTCATTCTTCAGAAATTAAACATAATACATAAACATGACATAATCTTATAATCACATACCCTAGCACTCGCACATATAGGCAGGCTAGTTTTGCTGTGTTTGAGAAACTCTGGTAGATTGTTGAGGTAGCTGAAGAAAAGACTATGGCCCAGGACTGTTGCCTCGGTTCACCTATATGGGATACAGTTATCCCACATGCATGGGTGTTCAACATGGGCCACATGTATTTCCCATACACAGAGCAAGAATCAAAGTAGGATTTAGGGGAATCTACACTTTTTTAGATTTTGGGGTAATTGAAACTTTGATACAAGGATCTAGCATCATCAAGATTAAAGATAAATGTTTTTTCCAACATATATGTGTGCAGCATATTTCAATTTAAAAACAATTTGAAGCTTAAATTGTAGAATTTTTTATTAAATTTAAATTCTAAAGCACATGTGGGAATTTCAAAGAACAGGGAGATATTCTTCTGTAGGGGAAACTTTCCATAAATGGAACTGAATCAAGTCTAGACTGACACATACAGAGGTGGGAGAATCAGTGTCTTTACTTTGGTTGGTGACCAGATCTTGAATGGCGGAAATTATTTGTGTTCACAAGAGCAAGAAGGATGGAATCCCTGTTGAAGGACATACAGTAAGTCGTCTGAATCAAGATGCTGCGTGATGTTACTACTTATTACGTGATCAAGGAAATTGTAGCATATCATTGTAACAGAGATTGGATTATAGTTGACGGGGTTATGTTTGTCGCCTCTTTTAAAAGAAACCAGGATAGGCTTAAGCGAGATTTCCGTCAAGACGGACAGTTCCTGGAATCATCATGTATGTAATCTGACAAATACCAGTCAAGGAGAGTTTACCAATATTCCAGTGGTGGATCCATAGGCCTATAATCTGTTTTTTTTTTCTCTTTCTAAATATCCGGGGGGGGGGGGGGTCCATGTGGGGAAAAATTGAGGAAAATGGTGAACAAATACATGATTTTTTAAAGAAAATATGCAGGCTGGGGGGGTTTCCTGAAGCCCAAAAAAACCTCTCTGGATCCGCCCCTCTATTCTACCACATTTGTCATGTATCAACACTCTTTATTGGCCAATAACCATGGATCATTTGATAACAGACCATGCATGAGTGTGTATTATCTTTCAACAGATCAATGCTCTTCCAAAAACCTTCCTAGCATATATATGTACCAGTAACAAGCAAGCCAAGAGACTGGTTTTATTTGTCGAATGAGGGAAGCTGCATCTAAATATTCAAAGATTTGCTAGAGTACATAACAATGAGAGGCCCAAGGGCCTTAGCGGTCACTTGAGTTATAATATATGTACTGGAAGCTCAATTTCGTTATTGAGATGTGATGTGGAAATCAACATGTAAACAAAGTGAAATACAATACTTGTCATATGTCACCAAAGGAAAAGAACTTTAAAAACTATCCAAATAAATTATTTTGCTATTGAGAAATATAATATCTATTGTTATTTAGTCAATTTTCCTCTTTGGCCAACCCCTGGAATAGGTCAGGATCTTACTTTCTAATATTATTTAATTTCAATTTCATTATAACATTTCAGACTAAGTTTGAATTATTTCTTGCTGAAAATGGACAAGATATAGTCGGAAGTGTTATTTCCCTATATGAACTATAGTAAACTTTACCCCCTCCCCACGGGAGGAAGAATGGCCCAGGTGTACTGACATTTACAGTTAACATAAAGCCCCTGATGATCTTTCCATCCATGCAGAGAAATTGACTGTAGTACCTCCAAGTCTGGAGAAGAAGATTGTTGTAATATTGGTTAATTTTCCCTTTGGGGCCCTGCTGGCCCCTGGGGTTGGGGTAGGAATCCTAAGTTTACAATTTTGTAGCCTCATCTACCAAGGATGATTCTGATAAAGTTTAAAAAAAAAATCATCTTCTGGTTCTTGAGAAGAAGTAAACAAGAGGCCCAGAGGGCCTGTGTCACTCACCTGAATATATAAGCAGTCATAGCAAAATATTCTCATTCAATAGTATATTGCACTACAAATATTTCCCTCGCAAACTTTGTCTGCTCCATCTGTTTAAACTAATTTACTTGACATATTTTTCCCTGTGACCTTGTAAGTAGGTCAATGTCATTTTCCTTCTCATACTTTGTTAGCTCTACCCCAAAAAGCTACCAGACAAATCTTATGAATCCATTTCTTTTGGTTCTTAAGAACAAATAGTTTAAAATGCTGTTGACCTCTGTCCTTTAAGGTAGGTTGAGATCATTTGCATTTGCAAACTTTGGTGAGCTCTATCCGAGAAAGCCAACAGCTAAATATAAAGATTCTATACCTTTCAGTTCTTCAGAAGAAGCTGTTTGAAGTTTTTTACATATTTGACACCAGTGACCTTGAAAGAAGGTCAAGGTCATTTTCATTCCCCAATTTTGTCAGGCTCCTTCCCATGAAGCCACCAGCCAAATATGAAGATTCTATACCTTTTCGTTCATTATCAGAAGTCGTGTAAAGAATTTGACATTTTTGACCCCTGTGACCAAGAAAGAATGTCAAGGTCATTTTCATTTGTAAACTTTGTTGGGCCCATACCAGGAAGCCATCAGCTAAATATGAAGATTCTATAGCATTTAATCCTTCAAAAGAAGCCATTTGAAGCGTTTGACACATTTAACCCCTGTGACCTTGAAGTAGGTCAAGGTCATTTTCATTCTCAAATTTTGTTGTGACCTTGAGTATAAGTGAAGGTAATTCATTTGAACAAACTTGGTAGCCCTTCATCCTAAAATGCTACTGGCCAAATATCATCAACCTATAGGCCTCTTGGTTATTCAGAAGAAGTTCCTAAAAGGTTTTAAACATATCTTATTCCTGTGACCTTGACTTTAAGTCAATGTCATTCATTTGAAAAAACTTGGTAACCCTTCATCCTAGCATGTTACTGGCCAACTATCATCACCCTAGGCCTCTTTGTTATTCAAAAGAAGTCGTTAAAAGATTTGTATCATATTCGACCCCTGTGACCTTGAAAATAAGTCAAGGTTATTCATTTGAAGAAACTTGGTAGGCCAAATATCATCACCCTGGGCATATCGGTTATTTATAAGAAGTTGTTTAAAGTTTATTTTACATATTTGACCCCTTTGACCTTGAATATAGGTGAAGGTCATTTATTTGAACAAACTTGGTAGCCCTTCATCCCAGTTTGCTTCTGGCCAAATATCATCACCCTAGGCCTTTTGGTTATTGAGAAGAAGTTGTTTAAAGTAAAATATTGATGCCAGACGACGAACAGACGGACGGCGCTCAACTGTATAAGTTCACTTGCCCTTCGGGCTAAAAGTCATCCCCAAACATATCCAGGTTGAATACAAAACATAGTGGATGACTGCCCATAGGGTCAGAAACAAGAAAACATGCAGGACAACTTGCCCATAGGGTCAGAAACGTGAAAATGTGTAGGACAACTGCCCATAGGCTCAAAAACGAAAAAATGTATAGCTTGATGTGAAATGTAGACATATAGACCTCATGTGACAACTGTTAGCACAGAATAGATTTTCGATACATCTTACATGGTAGAATAGATATAATCAACATATGTTAATATTTTATGGCGGAACATAAACCACGCAATTCAGCGGCCTTCGTTTAATTAATTCTTAAACATTTGTATACCCTCATTATTTATTCCACTATAATACACACACACACAATGATTATTTTTTTAAATAATTCCACTTTTGCATTAAGTATGGTCTAATACCAACCCCTTCCACAGCTACGTCCAAATCTCCTGGATTATTCACACCAACCACTATAGTAGACATGTCCATTTTGTTGATGCTGAAGTCAACTCCAATCTGAAACAACAAGTTTTAGGTACAGCAGTCTTTCAATCAACTTATGATATTTCAAAGCCCTGTAACTCTGCCACCAGGGGAAGTCATACCCTTCATTTATATCATATTTCAGCCCTTTGTACCGGGACAATCCATCGTAAGTTCAGTAGAAATCCCTTCGCTGATAATTGATTTAAGGATTTCTCACTCGGTGAATATTTCTAATCATAATCTTAACTTTATATTCTTGGTATTTAGTAAGTTTTGCTGCTTATCAAGTCATTATTACCTGCTGTCGGAGATAATTCACATGGCTTCCGCCTTTACCAATCAAACGTCTAAAAATGATGTCCATTCCTTCATCAACTTGAATAGTTCTTGCTCTGCTAGGATCACCATCTGTGTCCCTACGTTCCCTGAATAAAAACATTCTCTCACAACTATACCAGTCTGAAGTGTTACCAACCTTTTGTGCAGTGAAGTTCTATTCAATTTAATTTCTATACTGTATTTATTTTATTAACGCCTACTCTAAAAACACTGAGGACATTGCATGTTTGAAAAGTTTTATATCAATATATCTATACATTTACTCTGCATCTTTCCATTGTAATGCATGGCGAAGGCAAATGTTGTTATCAGACTATAACAACATTTGCTATTGTAACGCCATCAATCTCTATTGTGACACCATCAATTTCATTGTTGATTTGCGGTTCAAAAACTGTTGGAAAGAACTAAATAAATCATAACTACTCTATCAGAATGTAAATATAAATAATGAAAATTTTAGCAAATATTGTTATGGTCCTATAACACACATTTCTGTTGCTGACAAACTTACATAAAGATTGTTATTAATAGCCATGTGTGTTATAGGACCATACCATTTGCTAAAACACTCATTGCTAAGTATATAAATATGACCTAACATACTAGATCTTTTTGACAGACTTCTTATACTTACACAGTACTCTTACTCGAGATGATGCGCTCAATTTCCTTTTCCACCTAGACATAAACAAACAAACAGATTAGGTCAAAATTTCAATTCAGATTTGTGTTTCAGCTGAAGGAGATTAAAATCAAGATAAGCCTGGATAGTTTTTTATATTGAAAGAATATCATAGTTAATATGTGTACCAGGCAATATATTTCAATTGAAGGATCTGCTCTGTGAAAAGTCAAAATTTTCTACTAACTAACTCTTTTTGAGCAATTTCTTATTATAACAAGGCAATCCACGGTCCCCAACCGGTAATGATTTCTACATTTAACAAACACTTGTGTCAGGATGTACCTACCTACTGTAAGGGAGTATCTTGATACATTATGCAATATTAAAGGCATCTTTGTAATGGTAAAATTGTTTTGTTGCTAAAATCAATGATATTTCAACCAAATCTGGATAGAGCCAGTGAAATAGTATAGAAGACATGCCCCAGACTTACATTTTCAAAAGTGAAGGTCAAAGGTCAAGTCATAGGTCACATCGACCTAATTCTTGCACTCTGCATTCTGTCATCACAAGATGTCCTTATACACCAAATCTGGTTACTCAGTGAAATAGTATAGAAGATATGTAGATATATCCTGGACAAACTTTTCAGACAGAATAAGGGAAGGACGGAAGGAGTTCAAACCTCTAGTCTCCCCCCCACCAGGGACTAAAATGGAGTATATGAGAAAACAAATGTACCTTGAAAGCAAATGTACGTCGGTCATTGAAATGAGCGGTTGTCTCTATGGTTGTACATCAAGGGCCATAAAAACTCTGTAAATGACGGTCTGATAATTGTTGTTATCAAGCTTGTCTGACCTATCGTGGCAATGAACCTTCCTATGAAGTTTGAAGAAAATATGTCCTGGACAAACTTTTCGGACAGAATGAGGGAAGGACGGAAGATAAAATATTGACGCCGGATGGGGGTCAGGTGAGCTAAATATTGCTGAAATGGCCCACTACTCTCAAATTCCAGGTTTATCAAAAATTGAAATAAACACTTCAAACCAAAGTGCAAATAATGTATTTCTGAATGTTTATACCCTCATTATTTATTCCACTATAATACACACACACACAATGATTATTTTCTTAAACTAGAACACTGACAGGTCAGTAAGGGCCCTATCTTGCGGCAATATATCCCCCATAATCATCAAGAAGTAATCTGCCCATATAGCTGAGCTTGACTTTTGCTATTTGGACTTCAAAAAGAATCGCAAGGAAGCAAAATATACATTTTACATGTACTATGATGTGAGTCTTGTTTCCTTCCACCTCCATATTTGCTGGGCTAACAGAAATGTAAATACCGGTGCAATACTCATTTGTTAGCTTTGATTTGTTTTATTTCACCTTATATACCTCCTCCATCAAGAGCCAGGGTCTAAGTCACAGATCCACTTTGTCTTTGACCTTTGGACCCAAATTACCTTGACCATTAACCCAGCGACCCTGATCTTTGGTCAGTTGTCTTATTCTTTAATTCCGACCAACTTTGCTTCATAATATCATAACAAAAAATACAAAACTTTACCTTTACCCCGTAACCTGGACCTAAGGTCGGTTGACTCTGTGTTAAGTTCTAAACAACATTGCTTCATAATGTCATAACAAAATGTTCATCAGGGAAAGGGTACAACATTTAACCTTCACCTTTGACCCAGTGACCTTGACCTTTGGTCTATTGACTCCTTGTTTAATTCTGAGCTACATTGCTTCAAAGAGTCATAGCGAAATGTTCACCAGTGAAAAAATACACAATTTAACCTTGCCCTTTGACCCAATTACCTTGACCTTTGGTCAGTTGACTCTTTGTTTAATTCTGATCTACTTTGCTTCATCATGTCTTAACAAAGTTTTCATCAGTGAAAAGATGCAAAATTTGACCTTGACATTTCAATCTAATGACCTTGACCTTTGACCTTGATTTTTTACCTCAGTGTGTCTCTTTGTTTAATTCCGAACAACTTTGCTCCATAATGTCATAGCGAAATATTCACCAGTGAAAAGCTTCAAAATTTGACCTTCACCCCTGACTTGATGACCTTGACCTCTGGTCAGTTGACTCCTTGTTTAATTCTGATCAACTTTGCTTCATAATGTCATAACAAAATGTTCATCAGTGAAAAGATGTAAAATTTGACCTTGACCTTTGAACCTAATGACCTTTGTCCTCGACTTTTTACCTCAATGTGTATTTTTGTGAGTTGAACATCTTGACCAAGTTTCATGTACATTGGTCAATAAATACTAAAGTTATCTGCAAGAAACAAAATTTGTGGACGGACAGACTGACAGACAGACAGACAGACAGACAGAGTGATTACTATAGGGCACCCGTATCTCTGATACGGGGCCCTAATAATTCCACTTTTGCATTAAGTATGGTCCAATACCAACCCCCTCCACAGCTACGTCCAAATCTGCTGGATTATTCACACCAACGACTATAGTGTACGGCCGACGTATGGACGAAGGACGCTGCGGTATGGCATAAGCTCACCATGGTTCTTCGGACCTCGTGAGCTAAAATTCTGTTCTAATAGTTAAACACATCTGACCCCTTTAACCTTGAGAGTCAAAAAAGGACAGTTGAACAAACTTCATAGCCCTGCATCCCAGAATGCAACTTGCTAAATATCACTTCCCTATACCTTTTGTTTATCGAGAAGTTGACTTTTAAAACATTTATACTCAAGTTACCAGATGTACATGTGAGCTCGATAGAGTGTCAAAGTCATTCACATGAACAATCTTGATAGCTCATCATCTGAGAATGCTACTGGTCTGGGCTTTATTAAGATTGTCATCAATAGCAATGTGTGCTATAGGACCATAACAACATTTGCTAAAACATTCATTGCTTAAATGCATGGTTCATTGCATTTAGTTTCAAGTGATTGGGTCCATTGCCAGTGACCAGGAAGCTTACCAGTTAATTGGCAGAACATTCGTCTAGAATTGGGAAAGTCCAAGGTTGAAATCTCAAGCTAGCTGTCTCAAGTTACAGTGGTTTCTGTGATTCAACCTTGTGTCAAGCTACCCTATAGACACAATTGAACTCTTCCAATTCAAAGGTTGGAATAGTTCATTATGATATTTCAGGGGTGAATAAGTTAAGCTGAAATGCTTACAGATCTCAAACCACAAGCTAAAAGGCACTTTATGAAAGGGGAGGTAACACAAAACATTCACTTTAAGCGTAACGCAAAATATCCAATTTAAATATGGTAATACCTACCAACTGTACAGCTTTCTCCAGATTTGCCTCATCATTAACTTTCACCTCAATGTAATCAGGACCAGATGATACCGTTAGAGAAAAACCAGCCTGAAAAAAGCAATATAATCTACTGGTTTCTTTTCGAACTTTAAAACATAACTGTCCTGAAATGACAACAGAACATTAAACCCTTTCACCACTGTAGATCATAATGGACTCTTCCCATATCACATGCCAATTTATAATTTTTAGGGATAGTTTTGAAGTAGATCTATTCTGTTGCTGCAGTCTTAATACAGCATTGTTTTGTTTTACCTAGGGCCAACCAAGACTGTTTTTAATGTCTGGCTGGGAACTGTAACAACAGTTTGGGCTGGGGACAGTAACAACGGTCCGGGTTGGGAACTGTAACAACAGTTTGGGATGAGAACTGTAACAACAGTCTGGTCTGGGGACAGTAACACCAGTCCTGTCTGGGGACAGTAACAACAGTCTGGGTTGGGAACTGCAACAACAGTCTGTTCTGGAAACTGTAACAACAGTCCGGTCTGGGGACAGTAACAACAGTCCGGTCTGGGGACAGTAACAACAGTCTGGGTTGGGAACTGTAACAACAGTCTGGTCTGGGGATGGTAACAACAGTCTGTTCTGGGAACTGTAACAACAGTCCGGTCTGGGGAAAGTAACAACAGTCTGTTCTGGGAACTGTAACAACAGTCCAGTCTGGGGACAATAACAACAGTCCGGTCTGGGAACTGTAACAACAGTCCGGCCTGGGAACTGTGACAACAATCCGGTCTGGGGACAATAATAACAGTCTGTTCTGGGAACTGTAACAACAGTCCGGTCTGGGGACAGTAACAACAGTCTGGGTTGGATACTGTAACACTATTCTGGTCTGTGGACTGTAACAACAGTTTAGTCTGGGAACTGTAACAACAGTCTGGCCTGGGAACTGTAACAACAATCTGGTCTGGGAACTGTAACACTATTCTGGTCTGGGGACAGTTACAACAGTCTGGTCTGGAACTGTAACACTATTCTGGTCTGGGGACAGTACTTACAGTTTAGTCTGGGAACTGTAACACTATTCTGGTCTGGCGACAGTAACAACAGTTTAGTCTGGGAACTGTAACAACAGTCTTGGCTGGGGACTGTAACAACAGTCTGGTCTGGGAACTGTAACACTATTCTGGTCTGGGGACAGTAACAACAGGCTGGTCTGGGAACTGTAACACTATTCTGGTCTGTGGACTGTAACAACAGTCTTGGCTGGGGACAGTAACAATCTGGGCTAGGGACAGTTGTAACACTATTCTGGTCTGTGGACTGTAACAACAGTCTTGGCTGGGAACTGTAACAACAGTTTAGCCTGGGGACAGTAACAACAATCTGGGCTGGGAACTGTAACAACAGTCTGGTCTGGGAACTGTAACAATGTTCTGGTCTGGGGACAGTAACAACAGTCTGGCCTGGGAACTGCAACACTATCCTGTTCTGGGGACAGTAACAACAGTCTGGTCTGGGAACTGTAACAACAGTCTGAGCTAGAGACAGTAACAACAGTTTGGTCTGGGAACTGTTACAACAGTCTGGTCTGGGAACTGTAACAACAGTCTGGTCTGGGAACTGTAACAATAATCTGGGCTCGGTACAGCAACAATAATCTGGTCTTGGGACAGTAACAACAGTCCGGTCTTGATCTGGGAACTGTAACAACAGTCTGGGCTAGGGACAGTAACAACAGTTTGGCCTGGGGACAGTAACAACAATCTGGGCTAGGGACAGTAACAACAGTTTGGCCTGGGGACAGTAACAACAGTCTGGTCTGGGAACTGTAACAACAATCTGGGCTAGGGACAGTAACAACAGTTTGGCCTGGGGACAGTAACAACAATCTGGGCTAGGAACTGTAATAAAGGTCATGACTGGGAACTGTAACAACAGTCTGGACTGAGGACAGTAACAACAATCTGGTCGGGGAACAGTAACAACAATCTGGGCTAGGGACAGTAACAACAGTTTGGCCTGGGGACAGTAACAACAATCTGGGCTAGGAACTGTAATAAAGGTCATGACTGGGAACTGTAACAACAGTCTGGACTGAGGACAGTAACAACAATCTGGTCGGGGAACAGTAACAACAATCTGGGCTAGGGACAGTAACAAAAGTAATGACTGGAAACTGTAACAATAGTCTGGACTGAGGACAGTAACAACAGTCTTGGCTGGGAATTGTAACAACAATCCGGGCTTGTCTCCATTTTCAAGACTTTTGTAACTGTCCCCAGGTCAAACTGTTGTTACAGTTCCCAGCCAAGACTGTTGTTACAGCAGACCGGACTGTTGTTACCACCTCAAGACCAGATTAGTGTTACTTTACCCAGCCCAGACTTATTTACTGTCACCAGCCCAGACTGTTGCTACCTTCATCAACCAAGGCTATTGTTACTGTCCCAAGCCCAGATTGCTGTTACCTTCCGCAGCCCAGTCTTTTGTTACCATCCCAAGGACCAAACTGTTGTTACCGTCCCCAGCCTAGGCTGTTGTTACTCTCCCCAGCCCAGATTGTTGTCACTGCCCTCAGTCCAGACTGTTGTTACTGTCCCCAGCAATGACTGTTGTTACCATCCCCTAGCCCAGTTGTTACCATCCCCAGAGCAGACTGTTGTTACTGTCCCCAGATCTGATTTATTATGAGTTTATTTTCCTCAAATCTTATTTAATCTTTTGCCACAGCTTTGATTCAAGATTCTTTGTCAGGAAAAACATTTGGTAATTTAAATATTGATGTTTATATAGAAACGTTTTGGTTTCTGCTTGTGTCTTCCTAAATGATGATGGTAAGAGATTTCTGTCTAGTGCTATCCTTCTTTTACCAAACAACTTCAGCATTTGAGGTATGTTTAATAAGATTCATCAATTGGAAATAGGAGATATCATAGTTTAACTTACTACACTTCTTTACTTTCAAGACCGCCTTGTCCCTTTGTCAAGCTATGAATGAGTGAGCGATTTGTATTTTTTACCTGTACAACGATGTGACTCACTCAGTCATAGCTTGACAAAGGGACCAGTCGGGTCTTAAACATTGCAACACGTTTAATACGACATTGTTGATGTAGAAAGTAAAACTTTGATATCATTTGAGGTACATTCAACTCTCTAGCGTCTTCGTTGACAGAAGGAACAACAATTGTTTAATTTGTTTGAACCCTTTCACCCCTATGTAACTTTAGTAAACTCTACCATGCATTGATCTGGATGAGTCCATTATGGTCCACAGTGGTGAAAGGGTTAGGTTCTAAGGAAACACTTACCTGGTCTTCAAGGTGTTGTATGTTACGTCCTTTTGCACCAATAATAAAACCAACAATTGTGTTTACATTCTCTTTCTGGACATCCACTTTTGCTGTAAAGAAGCTGTGTTTCTGCACTGCTGGTGTTGGAACACTGTGTCAAAGTAAAGCTCTCATTGAATATAAATTTACTATCTTTCCTACTTTTAAGAGACTTCAGATTTCAAATTCAAAAATATTTTACTGACAATACATATATGAAACATGCATGTAAGTTGTATATATATAAAATCAGATGTTAGTACAGAATCAACAAAAGAATCAGACAACAGGCGTAGCGCCTACCATATCAGTCTTGTTCTATTCCAGTAGAGATAACATAATACATAGATTGTTGTTAGTCTTCCTTTTTTCTTAACATTTTCTCCAGGTTGGTAAGTATAGATTATAATAAGGTAAGGTGAGTACATTCCTTATTTCTAGCTATAGGTATCACCAGGTAAAGTGGGTACACTCCCACCTTCTAGCTATAGGTATCACCAGGTAAGGTGAGTACACTCCCTATCCCCAGGTAAGGTGAGTACACTCCCTATCACCAGGGAAGGTGAGTACACTCCCTATCACCAGGTAAGCTAAGTACACTCCCTATCACCAGGTAAGATGAGTCCACTCCCTATCACCAGGTAAGGTGAGTACACTCCATATCACCAGGTAAGGTGAGTACACTCCCTATCACCAGGTAACGTGAGTACACTTCCTATCACCAGGTAAGATGAGTACACTCCCTATCACCAGATAAGGTGAGTACACTCCCTATCCCCAGGTAAGGTGAGTACACTCCCTATCACCAGGCAAGGTGAGTACACTCCTTATCACCAGGTAAGGTGAGTACACTCCCTATCATCAGGTAAGGTGAGTACACTCCCTATCACCAGGCAAGGTGAGTACACTCCTTATCACCAGGTAAGGTGAGTACACTCCCTATCATCAGGTAAGGTGAGTACACTCCCTATCACCAGGTAACGTGAGTACACTTCCTATCACCAGGTAAGATGAGTACTCTCCCTATCACCAGATAAGGTGAGTACACTCCCTATCACCAGGTAAGATAAGTACACTCCCTATCACCAGGTTAGATAAGTACACTCTCTATCACCAGGTAAGATAAGTACACTCCCTATCACCAGGTAAGGTGAGGACACTCCTTATCACCAGGTAAGGTGAGTACACTCCCTATCCCCAGGTAAGGTGAGTACACTCCCTATCACCAGGCAAGGTGAGTACACTCCCTATCACCAGGTAAGGCGAGAATACTCCCTATCACCAGGTAAGGTGAGTACACTCCATATCACCAGGTAAGGTGAGTACACTCCCTATCCCCAGGTAAGGTGAGTACACTCCCTATCACCAGGCAAGGTGAGTACACTCCTTATCACCAGGTAAGGTGAGTACACTCCCTATCCCCAGGTAAGGTGAGTACACTCCCTATCACCAGGCAAGGTGAGTACACTCCCTATCACCAGGTAAGATAAGTACACTCCCTATCACCAGGTTAGATAAGTACACTCTCTATCACCAGGTAAGATAAGTACACTCCCTATCACCAGGTAAGATGAGGACACTCCCTACTACTAGCTATAGGTATCACCAGGTAAGATGAGTACACCCCACCTTCAAGCTATAGGTATCACCAGGTAAGACGAGTACACTCCCTATCACCAGGTAAGGTGAGTACAATCCCTATCACCAGGTAAGGTGAATACAATCCCTATCACCAGGTAAGGTGAGTACCCTCCCTATCACCAGGTAAGGTGAGTACACTCCTTAATTATCACCAGGTAAGGTGAGTACACTCCCTATCATCAGGTAAGGTGAGTACACTCCCTATCACCAGGTAAGCTAAGTACACTCCCTATCACCAGGTAAGATGAGGACACTCCCTACTACTAGCTATAGGTATCACCAGGTAAGATGAGTACCCCCCACTTTCAAGCTATAGGTATCACCAGGTAAGACTAGTACACTCCCTATCACCAGGTTAGGTGAGTACACTCCCTATCACCAGGTAAGATGAGTCCACTCCCTATCACCAGGTAAGGTGAGTACACTCCTTAATTATCACCAGGTAAGGTGAGTACACTCCCTATCACCAGGTAAGATGAGTACACTCCCTACTACTAGCTATAGGTATCACCAGGTAAGATGAGTACACCCCACTTTCAAGCTATAGGTATCACCAGGTAAGACGAGTACACTCCCTATCACCAGGTTAGGTGAGTACACTCCCTATCACCACGTAAGATGAGTACACTCCCTATCACCAGGGAAGGTGAGTACACTCCCTATCACCACGTAAGATGAGTACACTCCCTATCACCAGGTAAGGCGAGAATACTCCCTATCACCAGGTAAGGTGTGTACACTCCCTATCACCAGGTAAGGAGAGTACAATCACTATCACCAGGTAAGGAGAGTACAATCACTATCACCAGGTAAGGTGAGTACACTCCCTACTACAAGCTATAGGTATCACCAGGTAAGATGAGTACACTCCCTATCACCAGGTAAGGTGAGTACAATCCCTATCACCAGGTAAGGTGAGTACCCTCCCTACTTCTGGCTATAGCTTTCATTATACTTTCATTAAGATTCTTCAGTTTGGAAATATATAATAACGATTTTTACTTTATACACAAACGATGTACGTATTAAACACGTCACAACGTTTCAAGTCTGACTGGTCCCTTCAAGCTATCAAGAAAATTTGACAAAGGGACCAGACGGTCTTGAAACGTTGCAACGCATTTAATACGTACATTGTTTATGCATAAAGTAAACTTTGGTATTGATTTTTATTGAAGTTAATTTCATTGAAATGATCAGATTTTCATAACATCACCTTCATATTGTTACAATGCTATTATGTGATATTTTTTTTAATAATTCTGCTGATAAATTGCAAAATTACCAAAGGACTGAACCACACTAAATGTAGTTCAGCTCATAAATAGAATCATTCCCTACCTTGAGGGCGTCACAGAGAAATCTCCTACCCAAGGGATGATATTCTCGATTGTCTAAGCCTCGGGTAAAACATTCGAGAATATCATCCTGAGCAACCAAGAGCAGGTTTGGCGGTTTCTGACATTACTGAACAAAACCAGTACTTACACAATTTGTTTTTGCTCGAAGTCTTCAATTTCCTTTGTGACCTGCAGTGAGAGAAGGATTAAATTAGAAATGTATGTTGACTAATAGCAATTTTTGGCAATTATTTATTTTTAAGATATTAGACATAATACATAAACTATAAATTGTCATAGACAATTTGACGGCCATTTCATGATTGCTAGCTTACACTTTGATACTTAAAAACAGTTTAGGTTAAACAATATCCAAGAAAAACACATGTTTCTATCAATTTTGGTCAACAATTGACTGGCTAAAAATGTAAATGAAGTCGAAAATGTCCAATTCAATCAGATGCAAGCGTGTCCATCTTGGATTTTCCGATTGAAATGAAATGTAACAACACTTGTCCGAGACCTTGTAAGGATCAATTGTACCAAATAAGGAGTCAATTGGTGCAGCCGTTCTTGAAAAGAAGTAAACAATGTCCCAGCCAATCAGAGACCAGGGCAGCCATCTTTGATTTTCAAATCGGCACAAAATATAACAACACTTATGCAGGACCTCGTAGGGATCATTTGTAATAAGAAAGGAGCCTATCGGTGAAGCCATTCTTGAGAAGAAGTAATATGTGTCCCAGCCAATCAGAGACCAGGGCAACCATCTTGGATTTCAAATCAGCACAAAATATAACAACACTTATGCACGACCTCATAGAGATCATTTGTAATAAGAAAGGAGCCTATCGGTGAAGCCATTCTTGAGAAGAAGTAATAAATGGCTCAGCCAATCAGATGGCAGGGCAGCCATCTATGGTTTTTGGATTGGCATGAAATTTAACAACACTTATTTGGGATCTAATAAGGATAATTGTACCAAGTAAGTCAATTGGTGCAGTCGTTCTTGAGATGAAGACGAAAATGTCCCAGCCAATCAGATGCCAGTGTGGCCATCTTGGATTTTCGGATCGGCACGAAATGTAACAACACTTGTTTTGGACCTTTTAAGGATCAATTCTATTAACTCTATCCGTACTGCAAATCTGGTCCGTATTCCGTACAGGATGTCCTTATTAGACTCGCCCCCTCACAAATAACAAAATGGTGGATTATTAATGTCTTTTTAGACGAGTTGTAATTGCTGCAAGAATTAAACAGGTAACCATGAACAAATATTGTTATTGTTTCATGTTGTTGTAATGTTTATAGACACACACTTCTTCATTTTCACAGCATAATAACTAACTGGCAGCTAATTATGACAGAGAAATCGACATCCGTTTAGCAACAAACTATACGAAACCTTGTTTTCAAAACAGCGTTGTAGTGGAGGTTCCTAATAGGGATTAATTATTGTTTATGAATACAAAGTCGTTACTTTTTTTCTTCTAATAACGAGTAGATTTCATTAAGACTTTTATTTTGAATCACCAAATGCACACATCTTGCGAAAGATTCGAAAACAATAGTCACTAAATATAAATTGTGTACTCTGTACCTATAAAACTATTTCTTTCCAACTGATGGGTGGTGATTTTAGCGACAAATAATTGTATTACGCGATTGTCGCATGGGATAACCAGCCAAACATAAGACAAGTTACAACAAAGGGGGGGGGGGGGGGGGGGGGGGGTCAGTCAGGGCTCATATGTGCATACCATCAACCTGCTACCCAATACTGATAATGCTAACCCCCAATTGAATTACTTCCAATGGCAATTAAACAAATTTTGGTCCAAAATTTGATTTCCCTATATAAACTATAGTAAAGTTTACCCCCTCCCCAGGGGGAAACATGACACCCCAGGGTCATGAAATTCACAATTTTGGTAAAGCACCTTAAGACCCTTCCATCTATGAAGAGTATTTGTTTCTACCATATCTGGGTCTTGAGAAAAAGATTTTTAAAAATTTCAGTCAATTCAACTCTTTTTGGCCCCACCCATCAGCCCCGGGGGGTCAGTCAGGGCTGATATGTGCATACTATCAAACTGCTACCCAATACTGATAATGCTAACCTAAATTGAATTACTTCCAATGGCAATTAAACAAATGTTGGTCCAAAATGTGATTTCCCTATATGAACTATAGTAATGTTTACCCCCTCCCAAGGGGAAAACGTGACACCCCAGGGTCATGAAATTCACAATTTTGGTAAAGCACCTTAAGCCCCTTCTATCTATGAAGAGTATTTGATTCTACCATATCTGGATCTTGAGAAGAAGATTTTTGAAATTTTAGTCAATTTTACCCTTTTTGGCCCCGCCCCTCAGGCCCCTGGGGGCTGGTGACCATATAATTCACAATTTTAGTTGACCTTTGGCCATGGAAGGTTTCTGCAAATTTCATTGAAATTGGTTAAGGGGTTTTGGAGAAGAAGTTGAAAATGTAAATTGTTTACGGACGCACGACGGACGACGGACGACGACAGACAAAAGGCGCATTTGATAAGTCACTTGAGACTTTGTCTCAGGTGACCTAAAAAGTTGTTAAAAGTAAAAAAATTGACACCGAACTGACGACAGACGGACGCCACACCATAGCATAAGCTCACTTGGCACTTTGGGCCAGGTGAGCTAATAACAAGAGGCCCAAGAGGGCCTGTATCGCTCACCTGAATATTTAAGCAGTCATAGCAAAATATTCTCATTAAATATTATATTGCACTAAAAATATTTCCCTCGCAAACTTTGTTGGCTCCATCTGTTGAAACTACCAGCAAAATATTATTATAAGATTCTATGCTTTTTGATTCTTCTTCAGAAGTTGCTTGACATATTTTTCCCTGTGATCTTGTAAGTAGGTCAATGTCATTTTCCTTCTCAAATTGGTTAGCTCTATTCCAAAAAGCTACCAGCCAAATCTTATGAATCCATTCCTTTTAGTTCTCAAGAACAAATCCATTAAAATGTTGTTGACCTCTGTGACCTCTAAAGTAGGTTGAGGTCATTTTCATTTGCAAACTTTGGTGAGCTCTATCCCGGGAAGTCACCAGCCAAATATTATAATTTTATGCCTTTTAATTCTTCAGAAGAAGCTGTTTGAACTGTTTGACATATTTGAACGCTGTGACCTTGAAAGTAGGTCAAGGTCATTTTCATTCGCAAACTTTGTTTGGCTCTTTCCCAGGAAGCCACCTGCCAAATATTAAGATTTTATAACTACCAGTTCTTCAGAAGAAGTCGTTTAAAGTGTTTGACATATCTGCCTCATGTGACCTTAAAAGAAGGTCAAGGTCATTTTCATTCTCAAACTTTGTTCAGCTCTTTCCTAGGAAGCTACAAGCTAAATATAGAGATTATATACCTTTCAGTTCTTCAGAAGAAGTCGTTTGAAGTGTCTGACACATTTGACTCCAGTGACCTTGAAAGAAGGTCAAGGTCATTTTCATTCTAAAACTTTGTCGGGCTCTATCCAAGGAAGCCATCAATCAAAAATAAAGATTCTATAGCTTTCAGTTCTTCAGAAGAAGTCATTTTAAAGCTTTTGACATATATGACCCCTGTGACCTTGAAAGTAGGTCAAACTAGTTTTTCATTCTCAAACTTTGTTGGGCTCTATCCCAGGAAGCCACCAGCCAAATATAAAGATTATATACCTATCAGTTCTTCAGAAGAAGTCGTTTGAAGTTTTTGACATATTTGACCCCTGTGACCTTGAAAGTAGGTAAAACTAATTTCCCTCTCAAACTTTGTTGGTTTCTATCCCAGAAAGCCACCAGCCAAATATATAGATTTTATACCTTTCAGTTCTTCAGAAGAAGTCGTATGAAGTGTTTGACACATTTGACCCCTGTGACCTTGAAAGTAGGTCAAGGTCATTTTCATTTTCAAACTTTGTTGGGCTCTGTCCCAGGAAGTCATCAGCCAAATATGAAGATTCTATACCTTTTAGTTCTTTAGAAGAAGTTGTTTGAAGTTTTAGACATATTTGACCCCTGTGACCTTGAAAACAGGTCAAGGTCATTTTCATTTTCAAACTTTGTAGGGCTCCTACCAATGAAACTTTCAGCCAAATATCATGACTCTAGGCCTGTCCGTTCTTCAGAAGAAGTTGTTTAAAGGAAAAGTTGACGGACGAGGACGGACGGACGCCACGCCACGGCATAAGCTCACTTGGCACTTCCTGCCAGGTGAGCTAATAATAATAACAAGGGGCCCAATGGGCTTGCATCGCTCACCTGTTATTTATCTCACACTTGTAACCTAAAAGGTGCTCTTAAATAAAGCTACAGACAAAATATCCCAGTTTGCTTCTGGCCAAATATCATCACCCTAGGCCTTTTGTTCAGTGAGAAGAAGTTGTTTAAAGTAAAATATTGACGCTGGACGCTATATTTGCAATGCAATGCGGAGGTAAATGTTGTTATGAGACTATAATAACACTTGCTATTGTGACATCTTAAATTTCATTGTTGTCAACACTTGATTTACTGGTCAAAAACTAAATAAAGCATAGCTACTCTATCTAAATGTAAATATAACATATTGGTCGTATTACACACGTTTCTATTGCTGATAAACTTTCATAAAGCCCTTCCAGGCTTCAAGTTTGACATCAATTGCAATGTGTGTTATAAGACCACAACAACATTTGTTAAAACATTCATTGCTTAAATACATGGTTCATTGCATTTAGTTTCAAGTGATTTGGTCCATTGCCAGTGAACAGGAAGCTTACCAGGTAATTGGCAGAACATTCGTCTAGAATTGGGAAAATCCAAGGTTGAAATCTCAAGCTTGCTGTCTCCTGTTACAGTGGTTTCTGTAATTCAACCTTGTGTCAAGCACCCATGAAGACACAATTGAACTCTTCCAATTCAAAGGTTGGAATAGTTCATTATGAAATTTCAGGGGTGAATAAGTTAAGCTGAAATGCTTACAGATCTCAAACCACAAGCTAAAAGGTACTTTGTGAGAGGGGTGGTAACATGAAATATTCACTTTAAACGTAACGCATAATATCCAATTTAAATATGGTAATACCTACCAACTGTACAGCTTTCTCCAGATTTGCCTCATCATTAACTTTCACCTCAATGTAATCAGGACCAGATGATACCGTTAGAGAAAAACCAGCCTGAAAAAAGCAATATAATCTACTGGTTTCTTTTGAACTTTAAAACATTACTGTCCTGAAATCACAACAGAACATTAAACCCTTTCACCACTGTAGATCATAATGGATTCATGCCCATAAATGCATGGTAGAGTCTACTACAGTTATGTAGGGGTGAAAGGGTTAAACAAGAGATCAAGAACACGTCAAATATTTCCCAAGTCTGGGAACCTTCAGTACCATCCATTGTATCACATGCCAATTTATAATTTTAAAGGATAGTTTTGAGGTAGATCTATTCTGTTCCTGCAGTCTTAATACAGCATTGTTTTGTTTTACCTAGGGCCAACTAAGACTGTTGTTACTGTCCCCAGCCCAGACTGTTGTTACTGTCTCTAGCCCAGACTGTTGTTACCGTCCCTAGCCCAGACTGTTGTTACAGTTCCTAGCAAAGAATGTTGTTACTGTCCCATGCCCAGACTGTTGTTACTGTCCCTAGCCCAGACTCGTTGCTGTCCCAAGCCCAGACTGTTGTTACAGTCCCCAGACCAGACTATTGTTGCTGTCCCAAGCCCAGACTGTTGTTGCTGTTCCCAGTCAAGACTTTTGTTACAGTTCCAAGTCCAGACTGTTGTTACTGTTCCCGGACCGGTCTGTTGTTACAGTCCCTAGCCCAGACTGTCGTTGCTGTCCCAAGCCCAGACTGTTGTTGCTGTTCCCAGTCAAGACTTTTGTTACAGTTCCAAGTCGAGACTGTTGTTACTGTTCCCGGACCGGTCTGTTGTTACAGTCCCTAGCCCAGACTGTTGTTGCTGTCCCAAGCCCAGACTGTTGTTGCTGTTCCCGGACCGGTCTGTTGTTACTGTCCCTAGCCCAGACTGTCGTTGCTGTCCCCAGCCCAGACTGTTGTTACAGTCCCCAGACCAGACTGTTGTTGCTGTCCCAAGCCCAGACTGTTGTTGCTGTTCCCAGTCAAGACTTTTGTTACAGTTCCAAGTCCAGACTGTTGTTACTGTCGCCAGCCCAGTCTGTTGTTACTGTCCCTAGCCCAGACTGTTGTTACTGTCCCTAGCCCAGACTGTCGTTGCTGTCCCAAGCCCAGACTGTTGTTACAGTCCCCAGACCAGACTGTTGTTGCTGTCCCAAGCCCAGACTGTTGTTGCTGTTCCCAATCCAGACTGTTGTTACCGTTCTCAGTCCAGACTGTTGTTACTGTCCCTAGACCAGACTGTTGTTACAGTTCCAAGCCCAGACTGATGTAACCGTCCCCAGTCAAGACTGTTGTTACTGTCCCCAGCCCAGACTATTGTTACAGTCCAAAGCCCAGAATGCTGTTACTGTCCCAAGCCCAGACTGCTGTTACTCTCCCCGGCCAGGACTGTTGTTGCTCTCCCCAGTTCCGACTGTTGTTGCTGTCCCAAGTCCAGACTATTGTTGCTGTCCCAAGCCCAGACTGTTGTTACAGTCCCCAGTCCAAACTGTTGTTATGGTCCCCAGCCAGGACTGTTGTTGTTGTCCCCAGTCCAGACTGTTGTTACAGTTCCCAGTCCGGACTGTTGTTACTGTCCCCAGACCAATCTGTTGTTACTGTCCCCAGCCCAGACTGTTGTTACAGTTCCCAGTCCAGACTGTTGTTACTGTCCCCAGACCGGTCTGTTGTTACAGTCTCTAGACTAGAATGCTGTAACTGTCCCCAGCAAAGACTGTTACTAACGCCCCCCAGTCCAGACTGTAGTGCAACTGTCCCCAGATATGTTTTATTATGAATTCATTTTCCTCAAATCTTATTTAATCTTTTGCCACAGCTTTGATTCCAGATTCTTTGTCAGGGAAAACATTTGGTAATTTAAATATTGATGTTTATATAGAAATGTTTGGTTTCTGCTTGTGTCTTCCTAAATGATGATGGTAAGATATTTCTGTCCAGTGCTATCCTTCTCTTACCAAACTACTTCAACATTTGAGTTATGTTTAATAAGATTCATTAACTTGGAAATAGGAGATATCCTAGTTTTACTTACTACACTTCTTTACTTTCAAGACTGACTGGTCCGTTTGTCAAGCTATGAATGAATGAGGGATTTGTATTTTTTACCTGTATAACGATGTGACGTGTGTGTATACATACTCCCTATTGATATGCGATATATGTCTCGTTTCAAGCGACGAAAAACATATACAATTTCATCACATCGTTGTACAGGTAAAATATACAAATTGCTCATTCAGTCATAGCTTGACAAAGTGACCAGTCGGTCTTAAACATTGCAACACGTTTAATACGTAGATTGTTTATGCAGAAAGTAAAACTTTGATATCATTTGAGGTACATTCAACTCTCTAGCGTCTTCGTTGACAGAAGGAACAACAATTGTTCAATTTGTTTGAACCCTTTCACCCCTATGAAACTTTAGTAAAATCTACCATGCATTGATCTGGATGAGTCCATTATGGTCCAAGGTGGTGAAAGGGTTAGGTTCTAAGGAAACACTTACCTGGTCTTCAAGGTGCCGTATGTTACGTCCTTGTGCACCAATAATATAACCAACAATTGCTTTTACATTCTCTTTCTGGACATCCACTTTTGCTGTAAAGAAGCTGTGTTTCTGCACTGCTGGTGTTGGAACACTGTGTCAAAGTAAAACTCTCACTGAATATAAATTAACTATCTTTCCTACTTTTACAAGACTTGGGATTTCAAATTCAAAAGTATTTTACTGACAATACATATATGATACATGCATTTAAGTTGTATATATATAAAATCAGATGTTAGTACAAAATCAACAAAAGAATCAGACAACAGGCGTAGCACCTACCATATCAGTCTTGTTCTATTCCAGTAGGGATAACATAATACATAGATTGTTGTTTGTCTTCTTTTTTCTTAACATTTTCTTCAGGTAGGTAAGTATGGATTATCACAAGGTAAGGTGAGTACATTCCCAATTTCTAGCTATTGGTATCACCAGGTAAGGTGAGTACACTCCTACCCTCTAACTATATGTATCGCCAGGTAAGGTGAGTACACTCCTACCCTCTAGCTATAGGTATCACCAGGTAAGCTGAGTACACTCCCTATTTCTAGCTTTTGGTATCACCAGGTAAGGTGAGTACACTCCTACCCTCTAACTATAGGTATCACCAGGTAAGGTGAGTACACTCCCTATTTCTAGCTTTTGGTATCACCAGGTAAGGTGAGTACACTCCCACCCTCTAACTATAGGTATCACCAGGTAAGCTGAGTACACTCCCTATTTCTAGCTTTTGGTATCACCAGGTAAGGTGAGGACACTCCCACCCTCTAACTATAGGTATCACCAGGTAAGGTGAGTACACTCCCACCTTCTTACTATAGGTATCACCAGGTAAGGTGAGTACACTCCCACCTTCTTACTATAGGTATCACCAGGTAAGGTGAGTACACTCCCACCTTCTTACTATAGGTATCACCAGGTAAGGTGAGTACACTCCCACCTTCTTACTATAGGTATCACCAGGTAAGGTGAGTACACTCCCACCTTCTTACTATAGGTATCACCAGGTAAGGTGAGTACACTCCC